AGGCAATCCACTCACCTCAGCCTCCCAAGGCGCGGGATGACAGACTGAGCCACTGAGCCCGGCTTGCACTTACTTTTATTTATTTATTTTTTTGCCTGGAGATCTCACTCTGTTGCCCAGGCTGGAGTGAAGTGGCGTGATCATGACTCACTGAAGCCTTGACCTCCTAGACTTAGGCGATCCTCCCATCTCAGCTTTCTGAGTAGCTGGGACTACAGGTGTACACCACCATGCCTGACTAGTTTTTTTATTTTTGTAGAGACGAGGTCTTGCTTTGTTGCCCAGGCTGGTCTCAAACTCCAGGGCTCAAGCAATCCTCCCGTCTCAGTCTCCCAAAGTGCTGAGATGACAGGCATGAGCCACCACAACCTGCCATCCCATAGAAATGTCATGTCTTATCAACAAGGGTGCCTGAATGAAGCATATTGGTATACCCAACCCTTAACTGTACCCCACAATATCATAATAAAAAATATTGATAAAAAGAGAAATGTAATGTGAGCACCTGGCTACTTTTAGATTTTTTAGAATGGTAGTCACATTAAACAAAGCAAAAGGAAACACATAAAACCAATTTTAATAATAGCTTCTCTTTCATGCAATATACTCAAGTATTATGATTTTGGTCTGTCCCGTGACAAGGTGTAACTATATATCATAAACCTAAAAGTGACCTATTTATCTATAAATAGTAACTTATATTTTACCTATAAACACATGCATTAGTGAGCCGTACATATCCTCCATGCCCAGCATACTTCTGCTTAGACCAGGCATGTTCAGAGCTCAGCTGCCATGCTGGCTTTGTCTTCCTGGACCCACAGGTGGGACCCCTGCCATGGCCTCCCTCTCAGGTTCCCTGTAAATGCATCCTGCCTCTGGTGGTTCACCCTCCCTGCCTCCCCAGCTCATTTATTTCAGAGACCTCATCTCAGTTGACCCGTGAGCTTAAGACACCTCCTGATCCAGCCACTTTGCCTGATAGGTCATTGAATTTCACATTTAAAAAAAATCCAATGTGTGTTTTGTATGTAGGGAAAAAAGTGCTTTTATCGCAGTTGTCTTTGGCCAGGCATGATGGTGGTTCTCGCCTGTCATCCCAGCTCTTTGGCAGATGGAGCCAAGAGGATTGCCCGGGCCCAGGGCAACTTGGCGAGACCTTGTCTCTACAATAAATCAGAAAATTAGCTGTGCGTGGTGGTGCACGCCTATAGTTCCAGCTACTTGGAAGACTGAAGAGGAAGGATCGCCTAAGCCCACCAGGTCGAGGCTGTGGTGGCCGTGAGCATGCCACTGCACTCCAGCCTGGGCGACAGAGTGAGACTCCAACTCAAAAAAAAAAAAAAAAAAAAATTCCAATGTGCATTTTGTATGTAGGAAAAAAAGGTGCTTTTATTGCTGTCGTCTTTTGTAGGCCAGAATCCCATGAAAAAAGCGCGTACGTATTATAGTTTACAAACTGCAGTCACGGCACTGAGGGTCCTTGGTGACGTCAATGTCCTGCAGGTCTGTCGTTGCTGTATTTCAAATCTGTCATCTCCCCTGATCCGTGGGGAGGCCAGGGAGGTGGCCCGCTGCTCGGGCTTTACTACTCTGGGCCGGTGAGTTGGTGTGAGTGTCCCACAAGGACTGGTGTCTTTTTCATTCTGAGACCAGGATTCTTTCTTCTTAAATGTTTTATAAAAGAGTCTTTCTTTTGTAATCAGAAATTCCTGAACTAGTGGAAAGGGAGTGATGTCCTACAGTCCAGCACAACTGACTTTCCTGCCACCGGTGGGAGGACAGGGTGGTTTCTCGGATGAGTTGTGGGGGAGGCCCAGCTTCTCTGAGCCCTGCCACCTGCTCACAGGCGGAGCTGCTCACAGGTGGAGGCCACAGGGTGCAACAGCCGTGAGGGCCTCAGATTCCTAACTCCCATCTCAGCATCATCAAGGACACACGGATATGGAGGGAATATAGTGGGTACTATCTGCACTGTTGAATTTGTTCTTTGTGTTTGTTTTTGAGTTTCATTCTGTCACCCAGGCTGGAGTGCAGTGGCTTGAGCTCACAGCCACTGCAGACTTGACCTTCTGGGCTCAGGCAATCCTTTCACCTCAGCCTTCCAAGTAGCTGGACCTACAGGTGTGTGCCTCCATGCCGCCCCCGTCCCCCTTTTTTTTTAAATTTATTGTATAGATGAGCTTTCACCAAGTTGCCCAGGCTGGTTTTGAACCCCTGGGCTCAGGCATTCCTCTCACCTCGGCCTCCCAAAGTGTTATGATTACAGCCGTGAGCCATTGTGGCAAATTCACTCCTTTTTATGCTTGAAATATATATATATATTTGAGACATGTTTCCTCATTATTTTGCTCAGGCTGGTCTCAAACTCCTGATCTCAAGTGATCCTCCTGCCTTGGCCTCCTGTAGTGCTAGGATTACAGGCATGAGCCATCGCAACTGGCCCTGAATTTGTTCTTGCTATTTTTTTTTTTTTTTTTTGAGTTGGAGTCTCACTCTGTCGCCCAGACTGGAGTGCAGTGGCCGCTCCTGGCCACCGCAGCCTAGACCTGCTGGGCTCCGGTGATCCTTCTGCCTCAGCCTTCCAAGTAGCTGGAACTACAGGTACATGCTACCACACCCGGCTCATTTTGATTTATTGTAGAGATGAGGTCTCACCAAGTTGCCCAGGCAGGTCTTGAACCCGCGGGCTCAAGCAATCCACTCACCTCAGCCTCCCAAAGGTGCAGGATTACAGGCTGAGGTACCGAGCCCGGCTTCTTGCTATCTTTTTAAAAAAATTTTTAAATGTAGACATTGTAGCTTATGAACATTCTCATATGCTAAACACAGAAGTGATTAAGTTCCACTGCACCGTCAGGTACCTGTCCACCGGGCAAATGAGTCAGGGGTGCAAATATAGACCTTTGTTCTTCCTGAAGGTGCCAAGCAGATGCTCAAAATCTCTTCATACTGGAGATGCTTTCATTTTAAAAAGTCTTCTTTAAGGCAAACCAGAATTCCTTGTGTATAGCAGGTGCTGGGTGAATTTATTAGTCGAATCGAGTTATTACTTGACAGAAGGAATAAGGATAGAGTGATTTAAAGGCATTGCAAATCAACCAGAAATGAGGGTAAAATTTTAGCTCACAGAGAACTCATCTTAAAAAAATTTGCATTTAGAATATTTATGAGATCGTAAAGTTAGTACCAAAATGCTGTTTGAAGATATGCCTAATGGATCAGGAAGAGCCCGTTGTCGAAGCACTTCCAGCCCAGCTGCCCCAGTATCTGCATAAGTCATAAGTCTCTTGGGGGTGGATTCTCCAGGTAGAATCCAAGCCCTCTCTTTTCCATTTATCAGCACTTTTTTGGCTTCTTCTTTCTTAGAGATTTATGGAGGAGATGCGGTATGCACCTGTGCGCAGAGGTGTGTTGAATTTCTGTTTCTGTATGGTAATACGTTTTAGGCTAAACTGCCCACAGCTGTCCTTCCTGCTTCTCTCAGTCAGCTGCCATCAGCATTTCCAAAGGATGCTGAGTTTCTGGGAGAGGAAGGAGTGTCATTGACTCACAGTGACCGGGTCCATTGAAATTAACAGTGAAAGCTGGGCAGGGTGGCTTACGCCTGTCCCCTCAGCAGTTTGGGAAACAGGTGAGAGGGTTGCCTGAACCCAGGGGTTCAAGACTAGCCTCTAGTGACCTTGTCTCTACAATAAATTAGCTGGGCGTGGTGGCATGCGCCTATGGTTCCAGATATTTGGAAGGCTGAGGCAGGAGGATTGCCTGAGTCCAGCAGGTTGAGGCTGCAGTGGCCTTGAGCATGTCACTGCACTCCAGCCTGGGTGACAGAGTGAGATTCCGACTCAAAAAAAAAAAAAGAAAGAAAGAAAGGAAAATGGCCTTTCTCTAACCCTAGTTCTGAGTTCTCCTTGTCATCTGTTTCTTAGTATCCTCCTAGAGATACTGTGTATATATACATATGCAGTACATAGATACAAAGTATTCTTCCTATCCCTCTGTTTTTATTAACAATGTATGTCAGAGTTCATTCTAATTCTTAGTGATCTGCTACATTCTTTTTTTTTTTTTCTTTTTTTGAGTTGGAGTCTCACTCTGTCTGTTGGATCTGCTGGAGTCATGATTCTTCCACCTCAGCCTTTCCAGTAGCTTGGCACTGCAGGCATGCCCACTGTGTCTGGCTAATTTTTTTTTTGATAGAGATGAGGTCTTGCCAAGTTGCCCAGGCTGATCTCAAACCTGTGGGCTCAGAGAATCCTCTCACCTCAGCCTCCCAAGGTACTGGGAATATAGGCATGAACCACCATGCCTGGCCTGCTACGTTCTTTTAATGGCAGAAGAACGTGACGGTTGTATCTGCCATAAGATAACTCGTGCCACATGGATGCACATTGAGGTGGCCTTTTTGTCTTTTTGCTGCTTTAGACACCGCTGCAGACTTCCTAGGTGCGTGCTTTTGCATGCATATCCAAGTGTGTCTTTGGAATAAATTCCTAAAAGTGGAGTTATTTGGTCTTATGGCTTGTGGATTTTCAATTTGCTAGCAGTTGCTGCACTGCCCACCAAAGAGGTTACTCTCTCACAATGAATGTGTGAGTGTTTATTTCATAAAACCTCAGACAGAATTTTTAATCTACAGATATTCTAGATTAAAAAAAAAAAAAGGATGCTTGAAGTTGCACACCATTTCTTTCATTCACCCAACTGTATTTATTTTTCTATGGACTGAAATTTTATGCCATCTCTATTTTTCTATTGGGTTGTTAATCTCTTTCTTTTTTCTTCTTTCCTTTTTGTTTCTTTTTTTCTTTTTCTTTTTCGAGCCAGGGTCTTGCACTGTTGCCCCAGGCTGGAGTGGTACAGTCGGCAATTGCATAATCATGGCTTACCACAGCCTTGACCTCCTGTGCTTAGGCAATCCTTGCACCTCAGCCTCCTGAGTAACTGGAACTACAGGTATTTGCCACCATGCCCAGCTATTTTTTTTTAATTTTTTGTAGAGAAGAGGTCTTGCTATGTTACCTGGCCAGGTCCTGAACTCCTGGCTCAATCAATCCTTCTGTTTCAGTCTCCAAAAGTGCTGGGATTATAGGCCTGGGCCACTGCCCCTGGTCATTCTCTTTTTTTCTTATTGATTTATGAGAACTCTTTATATATTAAGCAAATTAACATTGTGTGTGTGAGTTTTTGTTTGGTTGGTTGTTTTGAGTTGGAGTCTCACTCTATTGCCCAGGCTGGAAGCACTGTGGCACACTTATGGCCACTGCAGCCTCAACCTGCTGGACTCAGGCGATCCTTCTGCCTCAGCCTTCCAAGTAGCTGGAAACACAGGTACATGTCACCAGTCCTGGCTAATGTTTTGATTTATTGTAAAGATGAGGTCTCGCCAAGTTGCCCAGGCTGGTCTCAAACCCGTGAGCTCAGGCAATCCTCTCGCCTCCACCTCCCAAAGTGCTGGGATGACAGGGGTGAGCCACCGTACCCTGCATGTGTGAGTATTGCTAGCAGTTCCCTTACCCCTAGTTTCTCATTTGTCTCTTTGTTCATGTCATTGTTGCCATTCAAAACATTTCTTTTTTCTTTATTAGATTTGTATTTTAGATATAGGGTCCCAGGTACTGAACTCAACTAGGGTAGAGAGAAGGAGAAAAAACATATTTGCAGGTAGAATGGAAAGGCCATGAAGCATTTTTCAAAGTTATGGTAATAGTTGACTTTTGAAGTCATTCATTCATTCATTCATTCATTCATTTTTCTTTTTGAGTAGGAGTCTCACTCTGTTGTCCAGGCTGGAATACAGTGGCATGCTCACTGCCACTGCAGCCTCCATCTGCTGGGCTCAGGTGATCCTTCCACCTCAGCCTTCCTAGTAGCTGGAACTACAGGCATGCCCCATCACACCCAGCTAATTTTTCTTGATTTATTGTAGAGACAAGGTCTTTCCAAGTTGCTCAGGCAGGTCTCGAACTCATGAACTCAGGCAATTCTCTCACCTTGGCCTCCCAAAGTGTTGGAATTATAGGCATGAGCTATCACGCCTGGTCTGGCTTTTGATGTCTTTTTATTTTATTTTATTTTATTTTATTTTATTTTTTTGAGTTGGAGTCTCACTCTGTTGCCCAGACTGGAGTGCAGTGGCCGCTCCCAGCCACCGCAGCCTCGACCTGCTGGGCTCCGGCCATCCTTCCGCCTCAGCCTTCCGAGTAACTGGAATTACGGGCATGTGCTACCACGCCCGGCTGATTTTTTGATTTATTGTAGAGATGAGGTCTCGCTGCCCAGGTGGGTCTCGAACCTGCAGGCTCAGGCAATCCACTCACCTCAGCCTCCCAAAGGCGCGGGATTATAGGCTGGGCCACCGAGCCCGGCTGTCTTTTAAAAGAATTGAGTAATAGAAACCTAAAAAAACCAAACAAACTTCAGGTACCGTGCACAATTAAGGGATAGGAGAAAAAAAGCGGAATTAAGAACCTCGGAGAGGAGACTTTTGCCACGCCAAATGCCACTGAGAATGGTAGTGTGTGCCCATGTCTGAAGGTTGCTCAGTCCTCCTGAAGTGGCCTCCCTTCCACCGGCTCTGCCCTAGACTCAGCCCTGGGTGTCTGAGACTGGTGGATGAGTGGTTGGTGTTATTACCTGGGAGTCTTGTCCTGCCTTTGAAGGGCCATTTGGTAAATAAGTATTATCGGTGGAACTGGCTTAAAATTATAATCACAGCAGCAACTCATGGTGTATTAATGCCTCCTCTCCCTTTCTCTGTGTCTTTTGATAAAGGGCCCATCTGGAGGCAGCAGGACACATGTGCATTCTGAAAGATGCCTTTGACTTTGAGAGCCCGTCTGAGATTGCCAGGATCATCATGGCCGAGAACTGCGAGGCCGCCTTGGCTCTGCACCTCTATAGAGGAGGCAGACTTCTGCAGGGTAATACTCTTTCCCTTCCAAGTAAAGCCCTGGGAGTACTGAAAACCAAATCACTTGCCGCGTCCAGCAGTTCACGAGACAGTGTCTCCTGTTCATCCTTTCAGAAATAGAAGGGATGCCATCATCTCTTGGGTTTGCTTTTCTATGAAGTCATTTTCTGAAATGTTATAACTGTGCCAAGTGGGAATGGGTGCATATTGAAATTGCTTTTGCTGTATTAAAAGTATCATCTTTGCTAGGCATGGTGGCTCATGCCTGTCATTCTAGCACTTTGGGGGGCAGAGGCAAATGGATTGTCTGAGCCCAGGGGTTCGAAACCAGCCAGGGCAATTTGGCGAGACCTCGTCTCTACCATAAATCAAAAAATTAGCTGGATATGGTGGCACATGCCTGTAGTCCCAGCTACTTGGATGTCTGAGGCAGAAGGATCGCCTGAGCCCAGCAGGTCGAGACCGTGAGCATGCCACTGCCCTCCAGCCTGGGCGACAGAGTGAGACTCTGACTCAAAAAAACAAAAGTATCGTCTTGCATTTCTTCAATGCATATTTCTTACTGCAAAATATATATTTGGGGACCAGGTGCAGTGCCTCATGCCTGTAATCCCAGCATGTTAGGAGATTGAGGTAGGAGGATCTTTTTGAGGCCAGAAGTTTGAGACCCCCATGTATACAAAATAATAATAATAATAATAATAATAATAGCCAGGTAGGATGGCTCATGCTACTAGTCTCAGTTGCTTGGGAAGCTGAGATGGGAGGATTCCTTGAGCCCAGGAGTTTGAGGCGAGCTATGATTGCACCACTGCACTCCAGCCTGGGTGACATGATAAGACTGTCTCTAGAGGGGATATACATATATATTATACATGTATATATATATAGCATATATCAGGGATGCCAAAAAATGTATGCACATTTTAAGAAATGTCATCTATGTGTTACTTTTTCAAAGTTGAATTGAATTATGGTAGCAATGTATAGTATGATGTTCGCTTAAAAGATAGCGTTAAACTTTTGTTATTGGTGTATATTGAATATTGCAATTTTAATATGTTTTTTTCTTTCTTAAAATGTGTATACATTTTTTTGGCAACTCACACACATATTCTTTTTTAAGTTTTTTTTTTTTTAGTTAGAGTCTCACTCTGTCACCCAGGCTGGAGTGCAGTAGCATGCTCACGGCCACCACAGTCTTAAACTCCTAGGCTCAAGTGATCCTTCCACCTCAATCTTCTGAGTAGCTGGAACTACAGGTGTGTGCAACCATGCCCGGATAATTTTTTTTTTTTTTCTGTAGAGATGAGGTTTCGCCAAGTTGTCTAGACTGGTCTCAAATGCCTGAACTCAGGCAATCCTCTTGCCTCTGCCTCCCAGAGTGCTGGGATGACAGGCGTGAGCCACTCTGCCCAGCCACATTTCTTATCTCATAGTTCCTGTGGGAATCCAGATGGTATTCAGAGATTGCATGGCTGCATGGTCTTTCTCAGAGTCTCCCACGAGGCAGTGGTCTCATCTGGTGGCTTGACAGGGGCTGGTGGGTCTACAGCCGGATGGGGCACTCGCACCAGCCATTGTCATGGGGCATGATTTCCTCACGGGCCTCTCCACAGTGGCTGAAGTGTCTTGGTGACATGGTGGTCAGCTTTCCCAGAGAGAACAATCCATGAGGGAGCAAATTCTAAGTCTCCTTATCTTTTATGACCCAGCCTTGGGAGTCAGATGTCGTGAATTCCACATATCCTGCTGTTTACAAAGTCAACTGTATCAGCCAGGGGCACAGAATCGATAAGACATATGCATATACAAAATGACATTTATTAGGAGGACTGGCTCACACGGCTACAAGGCAAAGCCACACAGCAGGCTGCCTGCAAGCCAGGCAATGAGAATGCTGGCAGCATGGTCAGTCCACGTCCGAAATCCTTGAATCCAGAAAAGTCAGCGGTGCAGCCTCTGTCTGAGGCTGAAGGCCCAAGAGTCCCCAGAAGGCTGCTGGTGCCAGTCCCAGAGTCCAAAGGCCGAAGAATCTGGAGTCTGATGTCCGAGGGCAGGAAGAGAGGAAGTGCAGCATCCACGAGGGAAGGGAGAGCAAGAGGAGACTCAGTAAGCTCTCATCTCCTCTCTCTCTGCCCTGTGGCCGCCTGGGGGGCCGAGTGGGAGGTTCTGCCCACTCCAAGGCCACTCCAGGCCACTGAAGGACACGCCCATCTCCTAGGAAATCCCAGACACACCCAGGTGCAGGGGTCCACCAGCCATCCCAGCTCCCCCAGTCCAGCCAAACCCACGGCAGGTGTCCACCTTCACATCAGCCCTGCCCATCATGGGAGAGGCCTTCCTGAGTGTGAATGTGAGGGGGCGACTGTTCTGGAGTCTGGCTGCCACGCACTCCCAGATGCATCTACACGGACATGGTGGGAGCCTGCTGTGCCCATGCAGTGCCATGCTTTCACCACTCAGTGACATGTCTGGGTACTTTGACTCGGTGGCACACACAGACCCGCCTCATCTGTTGTGTAGAAAGGCTACACTTGAAAGTCTTCGATTCATAGACATTTATGGCATCTCATTTTTTGTTTGTTTGTTTTTTACCATAACCATCACAGAGAATGTCTTTGTACAGGCAGCTGAGCACATGATCTCGGGAGAATTTATCTGAACTTCTGTATTATTGTGATGCTGCCTGAACTATGTAAACTAACTGTCTTCTGTAAGAGGAGCAGTGTTTCTGACAGTATTATTCCCAGAATAATGAGTTCATAACTTCTGTGGTATGAGTTCATAACTTTGACTTCTCTTGAAGTGTCATGGAACATAGTAGGGTCTGAGGCTTATCCCAGAATGCAGAAGTGCAGGGCTGAACTTTCCTCTTAGGCCTGGATAAAGTTCATACCCCTTATAGATCAGTAGGTGTTTGTTTGTTTTGTTTTGAGTCGGAATCTCACTCCGTTGCCCAGGCTGGAGTGCAGTGGCACGCTCACGGCCATTGCTCTCGCCCTACTGAGCTCAGGTGATCCTTCCTCCTCAGCCTTTCAAGTAGCTGGAACTACAGAAGAGCACCACCATGCCTGGCTAATTTTTTGATTTATTGTAGAGATTAGGTCTCACCAAGTTGCTCAAGCTGTCTCCAACCCGTGGGCTCAGGCAATCCTCTCGCCTCTGCCTCCCAAAGTGCTGGGATGACAGGTGCTCTTATAAGCTTAGCCCTGACTGCTGTGGCTCTTTTATAGAGTCTTAAACCTTAAGGCTGAGTTTGGCAAGTCTTTCAACCATAAGGTGTGTTGTTATCTATAAAATTTTATCTACTATTTCTTAGAAATGTTTTACATGCACATGCATATATGTGGACTATATTTTATTCCTACATATAGCTTAGATAGCTTTTACATAATTTTGTGAACTTTTCCAAAGCCACAAAGTGGCGTCTATCTTATTATTTTTAATAATTCTTTCAGAGACGGGGTCTTGTTCTGTCCTCAGGCTGGAGTGCAGTGGCACAATCATAATTCACTGCAGCCCCTAGCTCCTGGGCTCAGGTGATCCTCCCTACTTAGCTTTCTGAGTAGCTGGACTACAGGTGTGTGCCACCGCACCAGCTAATCTTTTGATTTTTTTAAAAAGATGGGGGTCTCACTATGTTGCCCAGGCTGGTCTCAGACTCCTGGGCTCAAGTGATCCTTTTGCCTCAGCCTCCCAAAGTGTTGGGGTTATAGGCATGAGCCACCATGCCTGGCCTTATTTTGTATAGCTTTTAGAGGCAGGGTCTTACTCTGTTGGCCAGGCTGGAGTACAGTCATGTGATCATAACTCACTGTAGCCTCAAACTCCTGGGCTTAAGCAATCTTCCTGCCTCAGTCTCCGGAGTAGCTGGGACTAAGTGGGCGTGCATCACCAAACCTGGGTAATTTTTATTTTTTGTAGAAACAGGGTCTCACTGTGTTTCCTAGACTTGTCTCAAACTCCTGGGCTCAAGTAATTCTCCTGTCTTGGCCTTAATAATTCATAAGTGAATTATTATTAATGGGCTTACTGAGTTAGAATGGATTATCACCTTAATTACGAAGTATGCTCATTTCTTTCAAACTGCCTCTTGGATACTCGGTGTATACATTTTATGTATTTATTTTTCCCTCTTTGGCAATTTCACTGAAAAAGACTTTTCTGCTATCTTCTGGAGCCTCCTTCAGTGCAGTTTTTCTGGGGAAACGCCCCTTTGTGGCACTAGAGTGTCAGTTTCCTGTTACTGCTGTAATTATTGACCACAAACCCAGTGGCTTCAAACAGCACAAATCTATCATCCTAAGTCCCGGAGGTCGGGGAGTCGACAGGGTCTCCTGGCTGAATTTTAGGTGCCGAAAGGCTGTGCTCCTTGGTGGAGGCTCTTGGGAAAACCTGCTGCCTTGTCTTTGCGGCTTCTAGGGGCACCCCCTCCTTGGCTTCCTCTGCTTTCTCCACCTCAAGCTGTTGTGGCTGGTGAGGTCTTCTTTACGTGATGTGGACTCTCACCTTTCACTTCAAGTCCCCCATAATTATGTGGAACCCCCTGAGAGCCCAGGGTCATCTCCTCTGCTTTATGGTCAACTGATTAGAGCCTTGATTCTGTGGGTTGCCTTAACACCCCTTTCCCCTGTCACATATTCATGGGTTCTGTGAATTCGGAGGTGGACATTTTTGGGGGAAATTTTCTTTCCAACCACAACCTGTCTCTGGACCCCAAAATCCATGCCTTTCCCATGCATGAAAATCTTCATCCTCTCCCAACATCCCCCAAAGCCTCGACCCATGGTGGTGGTGGTGAAGCATCTTCACTGGGTTGGCCTTTAATTAGTCTGTCTGTGTTTTTGAAAGCATTCTTACAGGTTTGTAGTCAAGAATTCAAACTATACAAAATGTTGGAGTGGAAAGTAAGCCTAATTTACTCCCAGATCTGTAGTTTTCCAAGTTCCCGCTCCAGGGGTGATGACAGCTGGTGTTTTGTGTGTCTTTTCACAGATGATCAGTGTATGTACAAATGTGCATTCATCTTTTTTTTTCTTGTAGAGATGGGGGTCTCGCTATGTTGCCCAGGCTGGTCTCAAACTCTTGGACTTAAGCAGTCCTCCCATCTTGGCCTCCCAAAGTATTGGGATGACAGACATGAGCCACCATGCCCAGGAGTTAATTGTTTTTATATATGCCTCTTGTGTCCACCAATGTGCATATTGGCTTCTCTCACTCCCCAGTGGATTTTGTGGTTTTTTTTGTTTGTTTGTTTGTTTTTTGAGTCAGAGTCTCACTGTCGCCTAGACTGGAGTGCCCTGGCATGCTCACAGCTATGGCAGCCTCAACCTGCTGGGCTCAGGCGATCCTTCTGCCTCAGCCTTCCAGGTAACTGGAACCACAGGCGTGCACCACCACACCCAGCTAGTTTTTTTATTTATTGTAGAGATGAGGTCTTGCCAAGTTGCCCAGGCTGGTCTTGAACCCCTGGGCTCAGGCAGTCCTCTCACCTCCGTCTCCCAACGTGGAGTGGTGACAGGTGTGAGCCACCGCACCCAGCTGGATTCTGTGTCTTTCTGCATGAACGCATGCATGCGCGCGCACGCGCGCGCACACACACACACACACACACACACACAACTCCTAAGAAGAAGGACTGGTTGTCACCAGTGCACATGTGTGTTGTTGTCCAGTTGTGCTGCTTTTAGCAACCGTGCTGTGCTGTGGATGTTCCTGTCTTCTTAGTATCTTGAGGCTGAATCTTCACAGTGAAATTCTAGGGTGATAGTGACCAACATAGAGAGAAGACAGAATCTGGCCAGACTTGGTGGCTCAGCCTGTAAAACCAGCACTTTGGGAGGCCGAAGGACCGGATTGCCTGAGCCTGCGGGTTCAAGACCAGCCCCGGCAACTTGGCAAGATCTCATCTCTACAGTAAATTAAAAAATTAGCCGGGCATTGCAGTGCATGCCTGTAGTTCCAGCTACTTGGAAGGCTGAGGCGGAAGGATCACCTGAGCCCGGCAGGTCGACGTGGGATGGCCATGAGCATGGGCAACAGACTGGGCCTCCAACTCAAAAAAAAAAAAAAGACAGAGTCTACTGGTCTGCATGTCAAAATGATTCAAAGCAAAAATCGGTATTTTCTCCTTTAAATGGCTCAGTAGAAATAGCTTGTGTGAGAAATCTCTGTGTGACCTCCAGTGAGATCTGGCCTGCTAGGTGACTTAGGGCGACGGTCTCATTCCAGATTTTGAGTTGACCTTGAGAAATCTTTTCCTTGTGAGAGTTCTGCTTCTCGTTTCTTGCTGGCTGAAATGAATAAGCACAAGCTGTGGTGCAAGAAAAGTGCACGTATAAGCTGGGTGTGGTGGCTTATGCCTGTCATCCCAGCACTTGGGGAGGCTGAGGCTAGAGGATTACCTGAACCCAGGGGTTTGAGACCAGCCTGGGCAACTTGGAGAGACCTCATCTCTACAATAAATCAAGAAAAATTAGCCGGGCATGGTGGCGTGTGCCTATAGTTCCAGCTACTTAGAAGGCTGAGGTGGAAGTATCACCTGAGCCCAGCAGGTTGAGGCTGTGGTGGCCATGAATGTGAGACTCCAAAAAAAAAAAAAAAAAGAAAAAGAAAACAATGGTGCCGTTATTCCAGGAGAATTCCAAGAAGGTGATTTTATTTCAAGAGCTGGTACACGGGGAATTGGCCAGGCACGTGCCTTGGAAAAACCGCTTCAGAATCTTGGGCTTAGGGCAGGGGCTTGAACAGTGGAGAGATGGAGCGGTGGCCGTGGGGAAGGTGCGGGCCATGGGCCACATGTCTTGCTTGGATGATCACCCAGAATTGTCCACCTGGAGACCACTCATCTTGGTTGTGGTTGGGTTATCCGTCAGCCTCCCCAGGGTCACTTCTCAGTCCTTCCTGGGATGCCCAGGCACCAGTGACTCTTGAACAACGAGGTACCAAGCGCAGGTGTTCCAAGATGAGCCTCTAACACATCTCAAGCAAGTACAGCATCAGAACAATGGACATAGGCTTTACCATAACCATGGGATCATAGCTCAGAGGAAAAGAGAGAAAACGTGTTCCTACGAGCTGCGTTGAGAAGTGAACAAGAAAACAAGTAATTCCCAAAGCTAGGTTTCTCCATATGTGAAACCGCCCTTGATGCACCTGTCAAGGAGCCCGAGATGCCCCTGCCACCTGTCACACCTGCGCCCATGAGATGTTTAGCGGGCAGGCCAGGAGTGGGACTCCCCGCAGCCTCTGACCATGCAGGGTCAGCCAGCTCCCTCTGCATATTCTTGCCGGCATCACACACTGCATCTTGAGTTCTTTTGGCTCTTGTTTTAGTTATGTTGTTTGTAATTTGCTGTTTCCATGTTCGTGAACTTTCCTAAGACATCACCTGGGGTGTCCATGTCTCTCTCATCTCTCTCTTGGTCTCTACCTAGCAATTGAGAACCCACAGAGCTAAATTGAGCATACGCTTTTTGGGGGGTCAACATTGATGGACTTTTGAGTCAGGGTCACACTCTGTCATCCAGGCTAGAGTGCAGTGGTGCAATCACGGCTCACTGCAGTCTTGGCCTCCTGGGCTCAGGCTATCCTTCTGTCTCAGCCTCCAGAGTAGCTGGGACTACAGGTGCAGGCCACATCAGTCAGCTAATTTTTCAATTTTTTTGTGGCGATGAGGTCTCACTATGCTGCCCAGGCTGGTCTCCAGTTCCTGAGCTCAAGCAATCCTGCTGCTTCTGCCTCCCTGAGGCACTGGACTGTATGTGATTACAGTGTGAGCCACCATACCCAGCCTACATTTTGATGGTTCTGATGTAGCCCATTTCCTAAGAATGAGACACTTGACTTTGATAGATGGGGCTAAGAATAGTTTTTTATTTGGGGCCAGATGTGGTGGTTCACACCTGTAATCTTAGCACTTTGAGAAGCTGAGGTGGGAGAATCGTACGAGGACAGGAATTTGAGACCAACCCGGGCAACAACATCTCAGGGCCCCAATTTCTACTAAAAAAATTTTTTTTAATTAGCCAAGCATGGTGGCATGTTCCTGTAGTTTCAGCTACTCAGCAGGCTGAGGCAGAAGGCTCACTTGAACCCAGGAATTTGAGCCTGCAAAGCTATGATTGCACCACTGACTCAAGTCTGAGCAACAGAACTAAGTCCTGTCTTAAAATATAAAGCAAATTAGCTGGGTGTGGTGGCTCACACCTATAATCCCAGCACTTTGGGAAGCAGAAGCAAGAGGATTGCCTGTGTCCAGGGGTTTGAGACCAGCCTGGGTAACTTGGCAAGACCTTGTCTCTATAATAAATCAAAAAATTAGCCAGGCATGGTAGCACGCACCTGTATTTCCGACTACTTGGAAGGCTGAGGAGGAAGGATCGCCTGAGCCCAGCAGGTTGAAGCTGTGGTGGCCGTGAGAGTGCCACTGCACTCCAACCTAGGCAAAAGACTGAGACTCTGACTAAAAAAAAAATTAAAGGGTAGTGCATGCCTGTAATTCCAGCTACTTGGAAGGCTGAGGCGGAAGGATCATCACCGGAGCCCAGAAGGTCGAGGCTGCGGTGGCCAGAAGCGCCCACTGCACTCCAGTCTGGGCAACAGAGTGAGACTCCAACTCAAAAAAAAAAGCAAATTAATTAAAAAGTATTTCTGACAGCAGTGTTTGGTGTCTCCCAGGATTAATTCCAGTGTCATGTTTTTCACACGTTTCCTGTTCTAGTATTCAAGAGAATAGGATAAAATTAAACACAACACACTACACAGTGTCCATGTTGGGGGAACTTCAGTTTTTAAGATTGTTGCTGGGGTGGGTTGGTGAGGGGCATATCCAAAGCGAAATTTTGTGTTGTAAGTGTCATTATTTTGCAGGTCTTCAAATCCCTTTTGGAATCATCTTTGGTGGAACTGATGTAAATGAAGATGCCAACCAGGAGGGAAAAAACAGAGTGATGGGCAAAGTACTCGAGGAAGCCAGGTAACGCTTATGAGAATTTCACCCGAGTCAAACATCTATACTGTTTGGATGGAATTAATCAAAACAAAAAGATAGGAAACCAATCACTGGGGAAGTTTACAACTTGTCACTAAAAACTAGGTTCACATAATCCTGTCTTTTTCTGTTTTTAAGATATAAGATGAGGTCTCACCATGTTGCACAGGCTGGTCTCAAACTCCTGGGCTCATGCAATCCTCCTGCCTTGGCCTCCCAGAGTGCTGGGATTACAGGCATGAGCCACCACGCCTGGCCTACTTTTTTCTTTCTTTTGGCACCTTTTTATTTTGCCATGAATAATCATTGCTTACTGGTGACTGCATGTTAAGTCTTCAACTAGAGTTAATGTTGGATAAGCATTCTTAGAGTGTTCTGCAGGGTGGAAGAGACAGAACTGCTTTCTAAGAGTTAATAATACTGGCATATGTTGGCCTTACCAGTGCACAGATTGGGATTGAGTTTGCAAAAGGGTCACCCAAGTGGACTGTTTTTGGCATGGCTTTCCTCCAGGTAGACTTCTGAGCTATGTAAAAGATTTGCGATTGGGTACAGAGGCTCATGACTGTGGCTCAGCACTCTGGGAGGTTGAGGTAGGAGGATCACTTGAGCCCAGGAGCTGGAGTCTGTGGTAAGCTGTGATTGTACCACTGCGCTCCAACCTGGATGGCAGAGTCAGAACCTGTCTCTAAGAAGGACAGAAATAAACATTTCTGACAGAAACCTTTCTTGAGAAGGGTTAGCAGCTTGTTCTCTAACCTATGGCTCTGTCCTTTTCTCTGTATGTTCTTCCCACTGTCTGGGGACCTGAAGGATGACTGCCCTGAGATAGCTGTCACTCTGGGCAGTGCTTCTTTTATTTTTATTTTTTGAGTTGGAGTCTTACTCTGTCACCCAGGCTGGAGTACAGTGGCACGCTCACAGTCACTGCAGCTTCAACCTGCTGGGCTCAGATGATCCTCCAGCCTCAGCCTTCCAAGTAGCTGGAACTACAGGCGTACGCAACCATGCCCAGCTAATTTTTTGACTTTATTGTAGAGATGAGGTCTCGCCAAGTTGCCCAGGCTCATCTCGAACCTGTGGGCTCAGGCAGTCCCCTTGTCTTGGCCTCCCAAAGTCCTGGGATTATAGGCGTGAGCCACCATGCCTGGCGGCAGGGCTTCTTGAAGGGGTCACTGTGTTCATCACAGGGACAGCCCTACACATCTGTGACCCTAGTCTGCCTGTTGACAGCACCATCCAGACACTAGAACAACTTGGTATTCCTTCACGTCTTTCCAGCTCCCCCTGGGTGAGGCTGGTCATTGCCCCCAGTTGAGAATCATTTCCAGGCTGTCTCCCCAACTTGTTTCATGTCCGGGATATGAAGCCACATCTGTGGGAGGCCACTGTTTTGGCTAGCCTCCTGCATGTGGGCCCCACTGACCAGACCAAACCAGAATGGAGCCACTTGTGCTAAGTTCCACGTAATGAAACAGAACTTTGAAATGGGCCAGTTTTCTAAAAAGCAGGAGATGGCAGTCAACCTGACTCAGCATAGTAATCCCCCAAGGCAAGTGACTGTGAGATGACCTGTTCCTTTTTGTGCTATTTCTGCTTTCTTCAGCCTTGTCTGTCTACAAAGCCAGCCTCTGCTCAGCTCATCAGAATACTGTTTTGTAGAATGAGGAGATGCCCCATTCTGGCATCACTAATAAAAACCAATTAAGACCTTTAAGTGTTTTATCATTGTGTCTCTTGACAAGGCCTGCTTAGAAAATTACCATATGTACAGCATTCTGAAGTAAATTGGAAGCCTTGGTGGAAAAAAAATTGCTCTATTTTTTTTCTATAACAAGTGCAATAATAAGAATTTTTTCTTTTCTTTTTTTTGAGTTGGAACCCCGAATTCCTGGGCTCAGGCTGTCCTTCTGCCTCAACCTCCTGAGTTGCTGGGACTATAGGTACATGCCACCAGGCCCAACTAATTTTTTTTTTTTAATTGGAGTTTCACTCTGTCACCCAGGCTGGAGTGCAATGGCACGCTCACGGCCATCGCAGCCTTGACCTGCTGGGCTCAGGTGATCCTTCTGCCTCAGCCTTCCAAGTAGCTGGAACTACAGGCTCATGCCACCATGCCCAGCTTCTTTTTTGATTTATTGTAGAGATGAGGTCTTGCCAAGTTGCCCAGGATGGTCTCGAACCCATGGGCTCAAGCAATCCTATTACCTCGGCCTCCCAAAGCCACCACATCCAGCCTTGTCTATTTATTTAGAGACAGATTGGTCTCTAGAACAACCTGGTATTCCTCCAGATTGTAGACAGACTGCGACCTCAAACTCCTGGCCTCAAGTATTCCTCCCACCTGGGCCTTCCAAAGTGCTGGAATTACAGGTGTGAGCCACCTGTCCTGCCCAACCATCAGTTTTCTCTCTTTCATGGCTAGGAAGCTCTAGGAAGGGAATTTGGGACTCTTCAGGTCTTTATATAACTGAATCATTTCTAATCCATACCGAGGACAGCACTCATAGTTCTGTTTTGCAGCTTGTTTCCTTTTTTAAAACATGGATATTGACTTTGCTTCTTAAAATCAGGGTACGGGAGATGTCATTGCCTTTAGGACCTTGTTCTTTTCCGGGGACTTCCTGAGCATAAATGTTGTGACAGTGCCACCTTTTTTTCTTTTTTTGAGTTGAGTCTCACTCTGTTGCTCAGGCTGGAAAGTAGTGATGCGATCACAGCTCACTGCAGCCATAACCTCCTGGGCTCAAATGATTTTCCTGTCTCAGCCACCTGAGTAGCTGGGAAGACAGGTGCATAGCACAATGCCTGGAAAACTTGTGGATTTTTTGAAGAGATGAGGGTCTTGCTTTGTTGCCTGACTGGTCTTGTACTCCCAGCCCCAGGTGATCCTCCCTCCTCAGCCTCCCAAAGTGCTGGGATTATAGGCATGAGCCCCCGCACCCAGCCTTGCAACCTTTTAAAAACTAGGGAGTACGGCTGGGATCGGTGGCTCAACCTGTAATCCCAGCACTTTGGGAGGCCAAGGCGAGTGGATTGCCTAAGTCCATGGGTTCGAGACCAGCCCGGGCAACTTGGTGAGACCTTGTCTCTACAATAAAATTAAAAATAGCCGGGCATGGTTGTGCATGCCTATAGTTCCGGCTGCTTGGAGGACTGAGGCAGAAGGATTGCCAGAGCCTAGCAGGTCGAAGCTGGTGTGGCTGTGAACATGCATGCCGCTGCACGTGTGTGTTTGTGTGTATGTGTGTGAGCTACAATAAACAAAGGCATTAGAGCACTTTGGGGTTACCTTGAAAGGTAATCTATCATTTCAGGTTTTCTTCTTGTTGTTGTTCTTATGCTCTGAAAATTTATTACCTTATTATTTATTTATTTATTTTACTCCACCCACCCCTAAGAATTTATTACCTTTAGATGCATATAGTTTGTTAACGTACTGCCTTATTGAAGGAAAATAATTCTGTTTACTAGAAACAGTATTAAATGAATCCATCTTATGGTATTATCATTAGTATTATTCATTGCATTGTTATTAAAACAAACATTGATTTTTATTTGGGGGATTATTGATTGAGGTTACTGGGCAGGAAAGCTGCGTGAATCATAGATTTCTTGTCTGACACAATGGAGCACACTTTTCTGGAAAACAAAGTATTGAACTTGTCTAGCTTTGTAATGAGTGTTTCATTTTTAATCAAATACTTTTAAACAGTTGTATTTTTCCTCTGAGGTACATTTTGGAACTTTTTTGGTATTTTGACCTTTTTTCCTATGTAGTAGAGTATTTGAACTTATTTCAGCATCTTTTTTTTGGCTTATACTTATTGTAATATGACACATATTTGGTTGTTACAAATATCAAAATTAAATAAAGAGTATTTAGCACTTATGGAAATTATTCCATGAAGATATCCCACCTACACACTAGAACAAAATTTACCAAGAAAACAAGCAAAAGAGATTGTCTAAAATGAGTACCTCAAAAATAGTTTCATGATCAAGACATTAATAGTAACACATTAGGTTGCGTGTGTTACTAATAATTAAATAACTAATTAAATAACCATGCAAACTGGCTACTTTATAGGTCAAGAATGGCTGAATGTTGTTAAGTTCATGTTTTTTGAGCTATCCTGTTCCTAGAGATGTTTTTTGTTTTGTTTTGTTTTGTTTTTTGAGTCGGAGTCTCACTCTGTCACCCAGACTGGAGTACAGCGGCACGCTCATGGCCACCACAGCCTTGATCTGCTGGGCTCAGGTGATTCTTCCACCTCAGCCTTTCAAGTAGCTGGAACTACAGGCATGTGCCACCATGCCCAGCTAATGTTTTGATTTATCGTAGAGCCAGGGTCTCGCCATGTTGCCTAGACTGGTCTCAAAACCATGGACTCGGGCAGTCCTCTCACCTCTGCCTCCCAAAGTGCTGGGATTATAGACGTGAGCCACTGTGTTTTTCACAAACAGGAACACATGTCAAAGTGAGTAAATCTATTTCCAAATGACAACATTCAACCAAAAATGTAGGCAGGGTGCTTTGTATGTTTGTCATTAGAAATGTGTCATTTTAGATTTCTGTGTCATGCCGGGTCCTTGGACCTGACACATTCTTGAACTGCTCTCTGTTAGGGAGTTGTGGACTCAGAGCTGACGATTCTTTCGTGTGAAGCCTCAGCTAAGGATGCCTTCTCTAGTATTTGAGAGTGAATAGTGTGTCTGCATATGTGATGGAGTGAGCTTACTCCACTGACCCCTGAATCTTCCACGCTCACCACCCTTTTTGGATGAAAACCTATCCAAGACTTCACTTCTTCCCTACTTTCTGCACCCTTTAATTTTTTATTTTTATTTTTTTTGAGACAAGGTCCCATTCTGTTGCCCAGGCTAGAGTGCAGTGGTGCAGTCATAGCCCTCTGCAGTCTCCAACTCCCAGACTCGAGCAATTCTCCTCTTCCAGCCTCTCGAGTAGTTGGGACTACAGGCAT